GGATCACCCAAGTCTCTCTCTGTTGCTAGCCATGCCTGGGTTTTTCAGTTATGTAAATCAATAAGTAATAATACCTTTTTTGATATATTATTAATTCTTGATTATTATTTCCATTATTAATACCTAAGAACTGTTCTTAAACCTGTTTGAATTGAGTTGGATTTCTAAGTAAGTTTGATTAATACAATGGTATACAAAATAATCAAATCTAGACCGTGAAATTTCAGGTCTAGAAATTCCACTCAGTATTGATTAAGACTGGGCCAAACTATTGAATAATACTGTCTCCTTACCTTAGAAGTGAATTATAAGAATCAGTACAATTGTGCTGTTCCATGGACATGCATACTTATCCCTCAGTTCTGAGACAACATATTTTTTAAAGGCCTGGAGAATGCTACAGTATAATAGAGGAAATAAAGAGGGCATTCTCAAGTGAGAATTCATTTTAGGAGAGTCTGTATGGTGAAATGCAGTATTTCTCAGAAATGAAAACTGTCCTCTCTTCTGTAGTCAAACTTGTTTTTATAAACTATTGTCTATTTCATATCCTATCTTGGCTATTTATTTTATAATCTATCTTAGTATATCTTGAACCTGAACACTTTATTATCAGGTTTTCACTGGTAAACCTCTTCCCTCTGATGGTACAATGTGTACTCAATTTTCAAGCACATAAAATATATGCCCTTGTTTTGTACCTGTAGTTTGGATATATGATTGATATCTTCATGCTTTAGTGTTTCAAAAATTGTAAAGCTGTAAGAGGTAGTCAGATTGACCATCATAATATATTCTTTACAATGAGTATCTTCCTTAATTAAACCATGATGTTGGAAAAACACACTGAATAGGTTTAGTTGATTCTTGCCTTTGATCCCATAAACAAGTCAGTCAGTCAGTCTAGCATGGTGACCTACTAAAGATATCATTTGTATTTTGTCTTTGTTGCTTTTCATTCTAGGGAAGCCCCTAATATCCTTTGTATGCATCTGAGTAACTGGTGGGATACTCAGGGGGATAATCTAAAGGGAGAAGCTGCTGGTAGGTAAGCTCTGGCCCTGAAGACAATTTGTATCCAAGTTTTTTGTGATCTGGGTTTGAGGAACTGGGTTATGAGCCTAACCATCACTCTATAGAGCCCACATATTTAAGAAAATTGTTTTGGTTGTGTCTAATGATATGTTTAAGGGTCAGCTACTCTCTGTATGACTGTTTTTCTTAAGAGATGGTCCATGGAGCACCTGGATCCAAATCACCAGGGTGCTTCCTCAAAATGCAGATCTCAGGCCTCACCAAGGTAATCAATCAGACACTCCGGGAATAGGACCAAGAGTCAGTCCTCTTACAAGTTTCCTAGTTGATTCTCACATTCCCTGAGGTAAAAAATACTGCTGTAGGCTACATCAACTTGTACTTACATCAACTTTGAGCTACTACGTGGGTGATAGTCTGGGGAATAAGCCCTAATATCAAATCTGTAGCTTCCTTTGTCATTCAGCTACTTAAAAATTTGATTTATGTAACATCTGTGTGAGAGTTCAAAGGTGCATGGGAATTCTGAAAAAGAATATACTGATTTGATAAACTAAGAGGAAAGCTTAGAGCAAAAGATCTTACACATATGATAATTCAGGGCCAATTCAGAGAATGACAAAGCTATTCTTTTAACTCCCTCAAAGAATATTCTTTGGATAGTTCAATGTGAAACAATAATCAAAGCAAACTGTTTCCTTTTGCCTTTCAGTAAGTCAATTATGCCTATTTTAATTACCCAAGTTAAAACATTAGCAATTAAGGCATTGAGATCTTAGTACTAATGGTCATATCAAAACACCTCAGATGGCATCTTCTCTCTCCAAACATCTGTAAATTATAATTTATGTGAAAATACAGCTAGCCCCTTGTAATTGGCAAAGTAGAATAGCCATTCTCAAAGACAGTGTTTTTCAACCTGACTGCACATTGGAGTTACCCAGAGAAATTTACAAATATGACCTGTATCAATATTCTACTGTAAGCCAACTAGATCATTATCTCTGGAGGGAGTGCCCAATCATTTTCTCTTAAATTCCCCAGGTAATTCAACTATAGAGCCAGGGAAGGTATCCACTTTTTAGGCACTTCCCCGGCAGTGCAATCTCTGACTCAATAAATGAAATTAAGCCTAAGACAACAATCAATGGAGAGATTGCCTAAAGTCAAATCAGTGCATTCACTTCTACTCTACCATCTTTAATTAAGCCAGGTTAATATAATAAGGTGGTACATTAAGACAGAATTGTAATGCCCCAGCCAACTTATTTTTTCTGAATTTCCTTTTTTTATTATACCCTTTGCTTATATAAGGAATATAATGCCACCTGCTATACTAAGGGACATCACATGTAACAACAGATCTATAAAAAATGTATTGGTCTACTCTATGGATATTGTTGAAAACTTTGATTACGCAACATAGTACTATTTTTCAAGAAGATACTTGGAAGCAAATTTTTCTGGTCTTATTAGGAATTCTAAATGTTTTAATGGACTTATGAATTATGTAACTAATCAAGTTTTATTTAATGGACTGCTATAAAGTTTAGAGCTAAATTCTCTTCAGGAGTAGGTGTAATAGGAATTATTCTTGTATTTTTCTTTTTTTCTTTTTGTTTTTCCTTTTCACCTGCTTATAGTTTATCATTTTGTTATTTTTTTTATTTGCATTCATTAAGCCATTGTAAAACTGTTGAGAAACAAGATAGGTGTACATAACACTGAAAAAATATAATTAATAGAGCTAATGATCAAATATTGTGCCACAAAAGATGTCCTTAATGTAAGTCAACTAATTTCTTCAATGTGAAAAAAAGAGAACAGCATCGAAGTCCACCTAAAAATCATATGTCTTGGGCACTGGACTAATTGTTGATGTTGAAGGAAAAATATAGTAAGATAGAGTGAAAAAGCACACATCCATCAGAATGAAGGGTGTGATTCTACATTTAATGTTTACCACTGAAGTGAAAAAAGAGGCATAAAAGATTGGTCAGAGGGAGGAAAAAATGTATTTTCATTTCAGAAGGAAAATTACAGACATCAAAAAAAGGGGAAGTTTCTACATGGGGAGCATGTGCAAATTAAGTTTTAACAAGAAGTTGAGGTCAACATATGGGGAGTGACAATCTTTCAATCAGATCCTCTTTGGCAATAACTTTGAGGAAAATAATCTAGGTTAAGTTAGATTTTTAAATATTACATAGCTGGAAAACATACTAATATATATGTGTTTTGCAAAGTACTGTGTATTGTTTTTGTGATTAGTCAGTTAAATCTTTAATATACCACTACTAAGCCTGAACTGTAAGTAGGCATTTTGAAGAAAGGGTTCTAGTGTCTGATAATTGTAGAAAGGAAAGTTATCAGGTTCTTACTAAATTGCCTAGATGGATTATGACAAAGATGTTTTAAAAGTAATTTGTGGTCACTGTAAGAGATGAATATTCCTATGAATACATGGGAATTTGAGTGAAATTATTCTATAAAAAGAAAACTATTAGTTGTAACCTATACTGATGGAGTTATTTGTATATGTAATTTGAGACACCGGTTTTCTCTTCCACCATCACCTTTTATTAAAGTATTTACCTTTCTGATTAATATACAGGCAAAAAACCTCGTTTGAATTTTAAAAGACAGCCTGTTTTACATAGGTATGTAAACTCAGACTAATTTTTAATTTATATCAGCTACATAACAAAATGATCTTAATTTTAATACAATACATTTCTTTGGGCTGAAGATACTGAGATTTCACTCTGTGGTTTGTGTAATTACTACAAAAGTTGTGTACAAAACCCTGCGAATATGCAAAAATTGCAAAATACACTCTGACAAGCTAATGCTCTGAAAACACTTTATTACACAAATTACATTCAGATTCTGAAAATAGTGTTCTAACAGTGTAACCATCTAAAAATAAGACATCCCCCAAACACACCAACTGAAGAAAATTAAAGAATTTAAATAGAGACTTTTTTCTTTTCTTTGTTGCAATATAATGTTAGTGATTTTAAAAAAATAGGAGATTTAGCAGCTTTGTTGTCACGTAGCACAAAGTTTCTCTTTACTGCCACAGGCTGAGAATGCTGAACAGGAAAGGCACCAAAGAAAGACATTGGCAATGGACGTGCTCTTGGGAAAAATACTGTGTGCAAGCAGAGACTGGGGTTATTTACATCTACAGAAAAGTCTCAAACATGTAAATGAGCAAAGCTTCCGTCACTAAATTTGTAGTGTGATGGAAGACTGAGGACTGTTTCTCTGTTCTATGTCCATATGAAGGCAATGGCCCTGATATGAACTGCCAGGAAATGCTTCAACTAGAAACAGAAGCCAACTAACCCAAAACAAAGTAAATAAAACGTGTACAGTCCCACGTAGACTAGTACAGTTCACAATTAAATACACAAAACTCTAAACGTGCTCAAGGGAAAGGAATCTGGCATTCTTGGTAAATCTCATCAACGCAAATCAAAGCCCGGTTTTCAGGAGGAGGCAGGTGTGGGTGTGGGCAGAGGCGCCGAATACTCCTCTTCCGATTCGCTTCCGTCATCCTCGTCTTTCTCTTGGTCGCTTCCCTCGGTGCTCAGGCGGTCAAACCCTTTCCGGCTGTAGCCTTTACGGCTTGCAAAGAAATTTCCAAGATTTAAGCCTCCACTTCCCTTTCCTGAAGAAAGCAAACAATGACAAAGAATTGAAGTACAATTTGCACAAATGATTTTCAGCGTCCTCGTAAATCCTTAAATAGTAAACAAAGTGAGTAGTTGGTGACGGGAAAGGGTACATATTAGCAAAAAGAAAAAAAAAGGCTTCTATACAGAGATATTTATTCTACAGAATCAGAAAGACACTATTCCACAGACTTATTCAGATAAATAGGGCAAAAACAAATCTCTCCAGGATGTTTTTCTGCAGTATTATTTCAGATTTATTTTTCACCTCCTGCTTTTTTCCAGGCTCTCTGGAACTGGCATCCTGGAGCAGCTCTTCATTTCAGTGGCTTTATGAAAAGGTCATTTTCACCATGACAAGCACTGATACACGAATAGGAGCGACAGAAAATTTACTGAAGACAAATGAAGCCAGATAAAAGGCAGGGGACGAGAATTAGATCACATAGACTGGCAAGGTGGGAAACGTGAAACTGATAAATTTGCTGTGAGAGCCACACACTTTGATTTAGTTTATGGTCAGCATTCTGCATTTAACACTGAGGAAATACTATGCTGCACACAAGGTCTTTAATTTTCAGAGAGAAAAATAAGAAATCTCTCCTTGCTCTTTAAAAAATGAGTTTGTTGACTTTGAGCCAAACATAAAGCATTCTGAAAGGTCGCAGGCATACCTCTAAGTCTTCCCAATACTCTTCCTGAACTTGCCTCAAGTTTGTGTTCAGAATCTGCTAGAAAAAAATGCACATTTCAAAATGAGTCCCAGTCACCCTTAATCCCCGGGCTCAACTTTCAATAAAAAACCAGGAATTCACAAATGATTAATAACAAGGCTTGGCTCTTGTCTGTATGCATTTCTTTAAAAAAAGGTGATATATTATTGTGATGCAGGTAAGGGCCAGAGCTAAGTTTGGCTCCTGCCTGTGTCTCTGCTGTGCAATCTCAATAAATGACATCTCTGAGCCTCAGTTTTTTCCTCTGCGAAAAGAGGGATCAATGACAATCCCGACTTATCTATAAAGTATAGTGGGCATATTGCATGTGGCATGCTTAGAACCATGCCTGACATATACACAGTAAATGCTCAATAAGTATTATCTACTTTTATTAGGACAAAATTAAGTTACCAGTAATTTGTAAGAACTTGGAAGCTTTATTATAATTTAGGAATATATATCTTAGGCTTTAGTCTATTAAAAACAGCACCTGTCCTGCTCAAGGCTTTGGATTCATGTACATCATTTTCCCTTTATCAAAGTGAAGGCAAAGACCTGAAATCCTGAGTATTTTCAGTCATACAATGTGACCCAAATTCTCCCCATGGGGCTGACCATCTCCACGAAGGGTCTCTTCTCTTTCTTTATGAGGATATAGAACTCCCAATGGACTTCACTTTCCCCCTTGCTGTGTATCTCTCTTCATTCTTTGCCCTGGCTTCCACCACTCCCTGAAGGGCTGCGGTCAGGAAAGGGAGGCTCAGGGTTCTCCTATGAAGTCTCAACCAGGAATGGAGGAGTAGCATGGAGAAAGCTAGCAGGCAGATGACACAGTAAAGGTAGAAGAGTGGGTGACGAAAGAAATAGGTAAGAAAGGAAGAAGCATCTAAGAAGACTGTTAGAAAGCCAACAAATTAGACTGTACATTCTGCAGGGATGCGGGATGGTCCTTAGTTTTACAACTCCTGTGCCTGGCACAGTGTCCGAAAGGGAGCTGGCATGCAGGCAGGGGATGCTGGTGAATGGGAGGCCTTTTATGAGTGCTAGTAAGAATTCCCACAGAGTGGGTAAGATTGATCAAGAACAAATGTTGAGAATAGGTGAGCACTGATGTACTTTTAGAATTAAATGTATTAGACTGAGGCACAGAAAACTGTAATGTTTTTAAGTAAAATATGCTTGAATGGCAGTTTCATAGGGTTCAATTTTGAGTCTCTACCTTCCCAACACACTCCTGTAAACTCAGCGCTGTACCTGTGCCATGTCTCATGTGCGTAACAGCAAACAGAAGGGGTCAACCCTTTCTGACTCTTCTGACAGTCCTCCCCGGAGTGTGGGTTGACTCTCAACCTTCCTGCTTCCTGTCCCCATGCCCCATGTGTTCCTGATACTCTGTGTATTCATCAGTGCACTTCTTACCCTCCATTATTACCTTTATATGTCATCTCTTTTATGTATTACCTATTATGCGAGCTCCATTTATCTATTCAGTAGTTTTTCCAATAACTAGTTATCAAACCCCTAGTGCCAAGAACTGTTTTTGTACTGAGGATAAATCAGTAAAAACGTAGCCATACCACATTCTTGCTTTTTAGAGGCTCCCATTTAACTCCAGGCAGACAATGTTTATTTACCTTTGCCCCTGCTTACCACAGTTCCGTACCCATAACAGGACCTTGACAGTTCTTTCTGGGAAGAGTTAACTGTATTTTTGCAGAGATTTATTGGCTATAGATGAAAAGCAAAAGAAAGTCCTAGAAAAACTCCCTTTTACAACTTACTAAGTTGAATCCTCTGAGTTTTGTTTCTGTGTCAGGGCTTTGCCAGTGGGCACTGAATCCCTGCCATAGTCACCTTGGCCTGAAACAGGATCAGATGCTGTTTCTTGATCAAATGCTGCCTCCCACCCTGGTCCATGGATTCCTTCCCAGGTGCAGCTGCAGACACTTGCCTTAGGACCTGGGGACCCAGCCAAGGGACTGCTTTTGAGAGCTGATAATCATGAGTTAGATTATTTGTTAACATTCACTTGGATGTCTTGAAAGAACTCAGCTCTTGGGTCCTATACTATGATAATGATTTGATGAAATATAGACTCCAATACTGGACCCTGCCCTGTTTGGTTAGGGAAGACTGATAGCCTAAATTACTTCCAAGTAGTTTGACATGGAAATAGGTGGTTTCTGGGAAAGCTGAGGTTTAAGACGAGTGTGTTTTACAAATTTCTATGCCTTTTTTTACTTTATTTCCAACGAGTATTCCTCATAATCATTGGTGGTATTAATTGAGTACTTACTAGGCAGCAGGTACTGTGACAAATGCTTTCTGTCTATTATTTTATCTAAGCATCACACAACCTTGTGAGTATTTTATCCCCACTGTATAGATGAGGAAACTGTGGCTTAGAGAGATTAAGTAACTTGCCCAAGGACATGGAGCTAAGAGCTAAAGCCAAGACTAGGACTGGAAAATACCCCAAAGAACTGACCCTGGCGTTTAGAGGACTGGGCCTGTTCCTAACTGCAGTGATCTCCTCCTCCTTGTTAGATAATTTATATTGATTCTACTTATCTACACAGTATCATATGAAGACATTAATCGGGCTTAAAAGAAATGCTAAAAGGCAACATTATAAGTTATATTGTCATCTATCCAAATTTCTGAGGCTTCAGATATATTTTCTACTATGATACTAACTATAGACGATATTTGGAGCATAGACAGTAACAAAAATGTAGAGTGCATTTAAAAAAAAAAACACCGAAAAAAGTTACAACCAAATTCTGAGGATACTCAGGCCAAACACGCTATCAAAGATAGGTTCCAAGTTCAAGGGGCTCGTTTTACTTGCCTCCAAAGGCCCTTGACTTTTTCCACCGAATAAATAAGGCAATGGCCAGCAGGACAACCACCGGGATAACCAGAAGGGTGGTAATGAGAACAACCGGCACTCCCGAGCCCGGCTCTTTGCTCAGTTTCTGTTTCTCTTGCATCTTCTGCACCTCTGAGGAGGCGGGTTTGTTCTCCATTTTGGTTTCAACAACTGCCTCGGATTCTTCAGGGAAAGAAGAGTTCACAATATTCAACTGACTCAAAGATTCCGAAACCCTCCTACCCACCCTGCCCAGTCAAATCAACAACTGCTCACAAAGAACCTGAGTTCCATGCACGTGGGGTTATTTAAGTATCTGGATCTACCAAGACAGCAGCCGGTATTGTGATTAGTAACCACTGAATGGTTTTTTGCCATTAAATTGTATTTTTTTTTAGTTCCACCTTTTATTCTCTCATTAGCTATAATTTCACAAAAAGTATATCCTCCTTTTGCATGTTTTTAAAGTTAAAATTAATAGGCAGCATGGTGTAGGGGACAGATTTGCTGTGCATACTGGAGTCAAGTAAATCTGGGCTCAAATCCCAGTTCTCCTACATAACTAGCTGGGTAACTTTGGGCAAGTTACTTAAATGATCTGAGCCTTGGTAACCTCATCTGTGTAACTGTGATGATGATAATACTGAGTATAAATGTTTATCATAAAGAAGGTACTTGATGAGTATTTGTTTCCTTGTATCTTTAGTTTTCGAGTCTCTTTAATGTTCCATGAATTATAGGAACATTTCTTGCAGAGTTGCACACATTAATTTTAGAATTACAAACTGGAAAAAAAGGAACTATGTCCTTTTTGGGTTCTTTTCCACAGTTCCCAGCAAGCTGTAAGTGCACACAGATGCACGCCCTGTATTTCCTTTTGTTGTTGATGAAAATAGTTTATACAACTATTCTGTGACAATGGCAGGTACTGGGTAGATATCAAGCCTAAAGCACTATCTGGGAAACTGATGCAATAAAACATATATGTCGCTGCAGGTATCAGTAACTACTGACTTGAAAATGAGATTGAGCCTTGAGACATTCTTTTCCCCAAGAAGCACATACGTATATTTGTACAAAAACTCTATTGTGAAAGGGCTAGAAGTTAAACCAAAATACTCATAAGGTTTCTGAAACCCCAATTTCTTGGTATGCCCTTCTGTCCTGCAATACAGAGTGCCTCAGAAGGCCTGAGGGGAACTGTGACAGAATTTCACGGATAGGCACAATCAGGAAAATCTTAGGTTAGTGTTTAATATGTCTAGAGACAGCTTAGTAGCTACTGGACATTTCTCCAAGGAAGAGTTTCTCAAATTATGTAAACACTGTAAACACAATTTATGATACACACAAATGGCAGATCGTAGCATTTTGCTTCTACACTTTGAGTCAGCCTCCTTCATGTTCTCAATTATATCTATCAAACACACTGTTTCAGGCCCTGTTCTCATTTAATTATCACACCAAGCCTATGAGTAGGCACTGTTATTATCACCATTTTACAGATGGCCTTGTAGTCCTCATTTCCTTCCTTTTACTATGGTTAAAGGGAGACCATTATGTCTCTTCTTTTGTCCACTGGAGTGGCTCTTGAAACTTCAGTGGTAGAGAAGGAAAGGGATTGGTTTACAGATATAAATGGTTTAAATTTAACCTTTCTAAGTCTCAGTCTTAGTTTCCAAGAGGAATGTGTGATTTTTACTTTTCCTGATGACAAACTGTTTTGTCTTTTCTTCATTACCCTAGAAAGGGTATACAAATTGTTCTATATTTAAGCAAGAAAATAACAATAAATAGACAATATAAGTAAAAAATATAGGCCAAAGATGTAGACTGGTAGTAGAGGACTTGTTGCCGTGAAGGAAGGGTTTATTTTTCTTTGAAGTTGGGACTATAACCAGAGTAATTAGATAACGTTTTCTAGCTGTTGTTTAGTGGGCTTACTTACATCCAAGGCAATGACTATATAAGCTCATATCTAGTTTATTTTATAAGACAGGGCTAGCATTGGTCTCCATTAAAAGGAAAGAAGGACTGTGAAGTAGGTGATAGACTAAAAGCATCAGCTTAGCATTCATAGAAAGTGTGCTGAGAATGAGGTAATGAACTCGCAAAGATACACACATTGCACTTTCGAAATTCTTGATTTCCTCACCCCTTCTGGTACTGAGTGTCATCTACTAAAAATACTTGAACATTCTAACTTTTGGAACCAGCTGGAGTCTGTTTAGATTTTAAAAGATGCTCTACATTTTAAAGAAAGAGGATAGAAATTTTACATTTCCCAGTCAAGAAAAAAACAACAAAAAAAGAAAGCAGTATCGCTGCTCTTTCTAGGAGCCTGGGTAAGTGGAGCAAAAATCCTAAAAAATAGATATCATTTAATTCTAAGAATACCATTGAAAGCATAAAGAACAATTCAAATTCTGCCACTTTTACTCTTTATCCTAAATTCTTTAATTAAAAATCCCAATAATTTGGAGCATCCCTGATGAAGAAGGAATGAAGAAGCTCTAAGGTTACCCAGGATTTAGGGCTTCTTCTGGTAGATAGGGGAGGATACCTCATATGACATTACGTAGAAGATACCAGATGTATTCCATCTAGAACAAAAATATCTTCAAACAAGCTCTTGTAGAAAAAATTTTCCATTTTTAAAGTGATGCATTTAGAAGGGGAAGCTAGGTGCATTCATGTTTGAGCTTGCATGCACAAGCACGCGCATGTCTCTCTACCCATGACAGAAGAGGAGAAGCCCAAAGACCACTTGGGATTGCAATAATTAGGATAGGAAAGGAGAGACATTCTTAACACGACAACACAGTGACTATTACCCAGTTCATCACAGAGAGAACTGAAGGCTGAAGGTTTTCGGTGGCATACTAGCAAGTACCATTTTAGAAGAGTGCATATAGCACCAATGAAACTACTTTTTTTTTTAATGCAATGTGCTTTCCTTACAATGTGTTGTTCTCTATAGGCTAAGATGTTAATGACACTAGAAAGTTCCATTTTATTTTCTTGAATATCATCTTTTATTGTGAGGGGAGGGCAGAGATAAAGGCTACACTTTTGGTGGGATATGGGCATATCTCTTTAATCCCTAGTAATTTAATTCAAAAATTTAAATTCCATTCATAAATTTCTTATCATGACAAATTATCTTATCCTGCAACTTCTTGAGAAGAAAACACTGGTTCTGAAACTGATGATCACATAATTACTGATCAGTTATGTGACCATTTACAGTGGGATGAGTGTCACTCGAATTTGAAAATTTACAGTTAACATGTGTTTATTTTACAGGGTTGTTAAATCCAGAATGGTGCTTCTCCTCTTTTTTTTTTTTTTTTTTTTGTAAAGGGTGGTTTAAATTAAGCTTCTAGACTTTGATAAAAGATAAACTCTTAGCGATCCAGTATGATCATTTTTGTAATAAGAAAATAATCCTAAAAAAAAAAGTGTAACAGGAGTCATACACATTCAAAGAGGACTAGAACAGCTCCACCTGTGTTTGGGTAGTCCCAACTATTCAGATGTGACTGTAATGACAAGACATTTCCATAAAAGTCACCGTTTGCACTGCTGGGTTCTGCCACAAGCCTGGGAGGTTTTCCGACCACTTGGACCTCACACTGAGGTGAGAGGAAACGGTCTATGGGAGAGCAGTGTCTACCCTACATTGCCCCCCAAGATGAGGTCAGTGTGTTTCAGCTCTTTTTCGGTGGCTCTAGGGGTTTTGGGTGGGATCTATTTAAACAGAAATGGCTTGTAGCCACTTGGAGACCCCAGAAGTTTCAGGGTGAATTACAACCATCCCCAATTTGTAGTTCTTGGAAGAATTTATGGTGAATGAGATGTTGGAAATTATTTTTCATCACTAGTATAGTAATAGTGGTTAATAGCACAGGCTTTGGGATCAGACTTTGGTTTATCACCTGAGTCAACCTCTTACTATTTTAGCAGTAATTCTGATCCTCAATTTCCCCAAATGTAAAATGGTGATAGTATTACATCGTTGGTATAAGGATTAAATTTAGTAATTTTTGTATAACTCATTGTTTGTGCTCCATAAGTGATAGCTTTCATTAATAATATCTTTCTCAATATCTTTATTCCAGGGCAAACAGAATTTGTCAATAATTCTATATATTACAATGATAGGAAAATAGGGGATTAGGAACTTCTTCAATGTATAAATGTGGTATGGAGGTCACCCAGGAGTGTCCACTGGATAGAATCTTTACAAATGTCAAACAATTGCTATTTATTTATTTTATAATATCATCTTATCCCTTCTCAACCTTGAGCCGGCTATATTTTCTTATCTGCCTACATAAAATCCCTAAACTCCCTCTTGGTTCTTGCTTCTTCTCATCTTTTCCACCTGCTTTCATGAGAAAGGAAAACAAGTAAGCCTAGGGTTAAGTCTGAACATCTAGGTGAATCATTTGTAAAGCACCTAATAAGGGAATCACTTTGCTAATTGAACATTAGGAGCATCATCAGTGAGTTCTTAATGATACATGACCATGTTAAAACCCTGCAGATAATGGAAAATGTACAACTATAAAGCGATCCTAGGAAAGGAAAATAATTTGACTGGGGTCACAAATGAACCGAGTGATTGCTTACCAGTAGCTAAATTCCATTTCCCCATTCTTGATAATATATATCAATGATATACTTACTTCTATATATGCATACGCATGTATGTACACACTTTTACAAACTCCTTATAGGCTATTAGTCTCTTGAGGTCAGGCACAGTTTCATTTCCCTCAAAGCTGCTATGGTGCCTTCACATAGACGGCTCTTGGTAAAATGTTGGGGGCCGAAGAGTACTAAGGTTGGAGCTTAAGGACCAGCTAATCTTTTCAGATTCCTATAGTAGTAATTCACCAAAGATATTTTTCACTCCTTTAGATTAGAGCCCACTAAGAAAGGGCTTTTCCAGTTACTGGATGGTATTTTCCTGCTTGCCTGAGTATGATAACATACCTCTAAAAATGACTTAATTTTTTGCTCTCTGAATGGCTGTGGCCCACTTGCTGTAGATTTCTTACATCCTCAATCACTTTCCATCACTTGAAATCAGTAAGTTTGAGATCATTATTACTACTCCATTTATCAGAAAAAGCAATGGCAACATGCAGGTTTAAAGGCTCAATACATAGTAGAAGTTATGGATAATTTACCAGATTAGATTATACTTTTAGCCTAACAATTTTTTTTAGGTACAATCAAGAGCCATAAAAGAATTCAACACAAATAACATTGGGTTCCACAGTCATAGGAAGAATCTGACCAACCTTTGATTTCCTGGACTTCAATGCCAGCCTTTTTAACTGATCGATGTTCCATTTCTATAAAATAACACAGCAAGGCAAGAGAAATATCAGAATTTCCAAAAAGAACACTGGAAAACTTAATTTTGATATTAATTTTACTCAGAAAATACTTCCTTAATTCATTAAGTGCATCATCATATTAGAAAAGAGTTTAATATAAACCAGTAATTAGGTACCAGGTCCATGAATCCTAGATAAAACCTCCTAGGAAAGCTAAAATAATATTTCTTAGATCTTCATAATTAAAATGAGATTCTCCTTGTGGAGTTCATAATGTATTATTTCTGAAATATCAAATAGTTCTGTTTTCATGTGGACATCTTAGACTGATTACTAATTTTTCCATGTTTGATTAGCAGCCTTCTAGCTGACATAAATGGATTTGACTAGTTAAATACTGGAATGCAAATACACAAAACACTTATTTAGACTCCAGTCTTACTGTTGCAAAGGTACTGTGTTCCAGATTTATTTGGTTGCATTTTGGACTATACACAGGGCTTTTCCCCTTCAAAGCTGAATGCTATATTGCAGTTCTTCTCAATCAAGGGATATATCAAAACCACTTCAGAACCCTTTCCAAAATACACATTTTATCACCTCTCTTCTTTTGCTAGATCTTGAATGAAGTCTGGCGATACGTATTTAGAAAATCCTCGCTGGGTGACCTGGATATGCATCTCTGTTGAGTATCAACCACTACAGTGATATAAAGAACCTTTGAACTAGAATCTTAATGAGTTCAAGTATCTTATTTCTTATCTGCAAAATGAAGATTTGGGATAGATTTCTGGAGTCTTTTTCATCTGGAAAGGTATTCACTCATTTTTTTTTTTATTCGGAAAAGCCTGGGTTTACTCCAGCAATTAGGAACTATCCTCCTCTCTTTGATTTCTTGTTGTCCACACCTTCTGGCTCCTCTTCAAAAAGGCAGGTGGTAAGAAAGCCACAGTTGGAAAGGGACTATGAAGCTACTGTTGGAGTGGAGTAATTCCTGGGCATCTCTGCAGGCTCAGTCCCAGCTGGGTCCTTATTACAAAATAGCAAAAGTTACTCAAAGGACAATTTGGAAGATACCAGCTACAGAATTTACTTGGGCTCCAAAACCTGTCTGGTGTCTGAAGTTTTTGGACTCCTGGCTTTACTTTTCTTTGCTATAACTTGTATTTTTCCCTTGTAATTCCTATTTTTCTTTCTTATAATTGGTATTTCTTATCTTCACCAAGTCTACATACATGTCATTATTTCTCTACCAAAAACTGCCTGTAGCAGCTCCTGATACCTCAAATTTATCATCCTTATTGAGGATAATTTTTACTCCTTAACCACATCTTCTCCTGTTGTTTGGACACTGCCATATTTTAAATGCATCTCTGGATGTTGAGATTTGTGGCCTACTAAGCATTCGGTGCTGTCCAATGCAGAACTAAAAGCTTCTGTGTTTTAGTATAGCAGAGGCTAAGTTAACATAGTTTTTAAGAATTAGAAATAATATCCAAATTGCAATTAAAAATTCTCAAAGTAGCTGACTTGATCCAGAGAGAGGAATTGTTCTGTCCCCAGACATACTTTTGAGTTACATGAAAACACAGCTGTTCAGTACTTTGAACAAGCTGAAGCTTAAAGAGAAAAAGCAGAGTGATATGGAATGATATGTCTCTGAACAGATGCTGGCACCACTAGATGCTCAGCAGCTACTGAGAGCCGAAGAGCCACATGGGAAGTGGTGCCAGTGTGAGCACCAGTCAGCCCCTCTGCTTTGCCAGAGCCACCTCCTCCCTCTGGAACAAAATTGGAATTAACATTGGTTTTCAATGTAACAGACATTACTCCAGGCATCAAGAATTTCCTGTGGAATATCTGTGGAAACAAGGGGGTAACTGCCAGCAAAAAAAAAAAAAAAGGCACACCATTTCTCTCCACTTTTTAAAAACTAATTTCACTGTTGAAATGAATACCCAACAGATCTTTTAACAACTACCAAAGATACCCTGACTCCCACTCCTGTCAATAAAACAAGAGAAGGAAATGTAAATGGTTTTTTCATGTTTTTAAGCAATAAAACTGAGGAAAAATGTGGACAACACTGTAAAAAACCATACTTTCAGTTGAGATGAACTTCCACACGGTGTTGGTGTGAGCATCTCCAACATACACAGTCCCATCTTCAGAGGCAGCAATATCATGAGGCATGTCAAAGTGCTGCCAAGATAAGAAGCACACGTTAGGATGGTGGGCCCAGACTGGGATTCTTCGTTAACAGGAAGAAAGGCAAAGCAAAACAACAAAGAAGCATGTTACTCAAACCAAAGAAACATTACCATCCATCAAAATAACTCTAGGCCAAGGAGAGTCATTCATTCATTCACCGGCACCAACTCTGCGGTTGAGAAATGCTAAGGACTCTCCCGCCGACTCTCAAGCTTTTAAAACGTGGACATTTATAAGTAGATTCCTTTTGTTTACAGAGTTGTTTAACTGGTGTTGCATTATCTATTTATATTTATTTTTGCCTTCACATTTCTTCTACTTTTTAATCACTATCGAATCTTCCTGTTTTAATCTATGTAAGTAAAAAGATCAGGTATTAAATTTCTGTTCTCATGCCCATCAAGCTACCATGAGCTACCTTGAAAAATGATTTATACATTACTGATAAGAGGAGTCATTACAAAAATTCAGGACGTTCAGATTATTTCTGAAGTTCCAACTAGGAGAGAGGCAGCAACGTGGTTTTATACTCCAAAGCCCAGTGTTTGCAATATTTTCAGTCCACAAAGGAAACAAATGGAGTGTTGTCACCAAGCACTTCCTGGGCTTTTGTACCTGTTTCAGATACTCAGTGTTTTCATATGTCTTTCTTCAGGACATATTTCCATTTCAAACAATCTCCATCTCAGTCATGAGGACACAAGAGACTGGGGAGCACTTTGTGTGACTTCCTCAGGGTCACCAAGCTAGTTCCTGAAAGAGCAGCTTTGAAATGCTGTGCTGCTGCCATTTCCATCTGTCGACAGAAGCTTTCAAAGGTGTCACGTACCCACCAGTTGGCAGGATGTAGATGAATTTTTCACTTTTGAGGCCAGGAAGCCTGCCTGAGTATACAGGTCTCAAAAACAAGACCAGGGAGCACTGACCTGCCCACTGTGGTTTGCCGAGTACAAAGGGCATCAGTGAGGCAATGCTGTTCCTAGCTCACTTCAGGAGGGGCAGGACACATACTCTGGAGACACTATGATGCTTTAAAATCAGCAACACTGAAAAGAAAAATGAGATAGCCACGCCAAGGAGGCTCACTTCTTCATGCTCTCAAACGAGCTGTGACAAAGGTGCACAAGAAGGATGAAGACCCGGAAACCAAGGTGCTGCAATCTCGGAAGCTAGTTCTTAAATGTTCACCTTGTTTTAGGCTCAGCTAATAGGTGGCAACAGACTTGCAATTGATAGGCAGTTCCTCTTACATACCAAAGTATGTTCTTACAAAGTGCTTTGTAAAACATATGGTTGTAAAGTGCTTCATATTTCCTGTTAGGAAAAATAATAGGTGGGGGAATAAAGGTGAAGGGGGAATATGTGAGCTATTCATTGGCTAAGGACTTTGCTTTCATTAAATCATAATATCTTATCAATTCAAGGCTGCAGGAACAGTAAACCTCTATGTGTGGTTCTCAAACTGATCGAGGGAACCAGGGGTTATGTTGGAAATACTTTGGAGGGGACTAGGAAGAGGCTTGGTGGATAGGACGTCAAGACCTCTATTCCTACTACCTTCAAAGGCATCCAGCTGTAATCTTGCTAATGAACTATTTTACTGCTCTACATCATTTGAAACACAAAATTACGTTTTAAGTTTTAGGATGTCAGAGTTGAACAGACTTAAAGATCTTCTAATCCAGACTTCCTAAATTCTCTTGAGTACCCTCCCTAGTAAAATAAAACTGTCATGAGGAAAGAAGGATAGCATCCTCTTGGGGCATCTGAGGACACAGCCCAGGGCAACCTGCCTTCAAAATTTTTTATTTCTTCTTAAAAATTCATAAAGAATTTCTGTTCTCCATTATCAAAGCAATGCTTTCTGTAACACAAACTAATGTTTAAATTATTAAGTAAAATAATTCTTTAAGAAGTTGCACCAAGTATGTTGTGATTTAATGTATCCTTTGGCATGCTGATGTGTATCTCAAGGATTAAAGGTTACACACATTTTTAGAGTCAGAAAGACCAGCATTTAAGATCCAGGTGTGCTACTTACAGTGAGGTTCAGGTGACTAATTTCACTCATGTGAACCTTTCAGCTCAAGTACTGTCATATATTGTAATTTTTATCTCCATTGTTAAGATTGGAGAAAAAACATGAATCTAGGCTTACTGTTCTTTTCTTTCTTTTTATGGAACAGTGGGAATCATTCCCTTCCTTTTCCACATGAGCTGCCTTGAAGAAGAAGGAAGACCAAAAGCATGCCAGTCTGAAGGGTGCGTGTAAGGGCAGACGGAGGGCCCAGTGAGTCTTTCCTGTGATCGCGGTCGGGGGACACAGTGCAGGACAACTGTGTATCTTTTGCCCTTAGAGCCTTTTGATGCCATTGACAGAACCATCTTCTTTACTGTACTACTGTTTCAGCTTCCCTGCAGACTTAAAGGTGGAGTTCGTGCATTCAGACATAAACATTTCTAAAGGATGTCACAGAAGAGCAGAACTGAAGTAGACGAGGAGGTTAAGTTGTGGACAGGCAAAAATAGAGGCACAGACACATTATGCAAAACGAGACTTCTGACTTGAAGGGAGAACCTCTTCTTCCATAGGAGTCAATATACCATCTTATTCCTTCCATCCAAACTTAATCTTCATGATGATAATCTAATTAAATGAAAATTCTGAGAGATTCACAAACTGATTTCAGTTTACTGAGTCAATACAGAACAAATGTCTATGTTTTGGCATAATATTGAGTCTTACTTATTGAGAGGGAAAGCAAATTTCACCATGGAACTAGACTCTTTTTTCAAGTTTGCTGTATTGACCCATCCATTGTGACTTATTCACCTCTGAACATAGGATGCATGCTGATACTCAGGCACAATGCTTTGTGCAATGTCCATTCCACACCATTCACATTTTTATGAGAGTAAGCCTCATTTAGAATCTACCTTCTTGCTTAACCACTTCATTTTGATTTTTAGATGCATATTTAAATTAAAGATGAATATCCTGGTTGAAACAGTACATTATTATTAAAAGAAAAATTGAGGCAAACACTGTACTAATTAATATGTCATAGAGACCTGAAGGAAAGTTAGGCATCTCACTTTATCAGTAGATACAAGGAAGGGAACTCAAGGGGCAAAATGATGATCGAATAATCAATTAGGAGCTGAAACACTACTGAAGTAAAATATATATTATCAATATAATGAATTTCTCTCTGAAGGGCTAATTATGATTGCCTATTTGGTTGCTTACTGCTTTTCAGGTGAAATGCTTATCTGAAAAGTCCTACTTATTGTATATGATTAGAAACTTTAAAAACAGGAATTTGCACTAGGATCATTAATTCAGATTCAGTTTGGTTCAACTCAGATCTTGTAACTCTTGCTCAAGCTCCATTTGAGGGAGAGGCTGGGCCTTGTTCTGTTTATTATTATGTCCTTAGTATTTAGGATAACACCTGACACAGAGTAGGTACTTAATAAGTATTTCAGAATGTTGATAAATCCCAGACTTGCTATCAGTATTCTAACAGACAAATTTCTAAGATATTGAGGAATTTTAAGTTTTTTTAAAATCTAGTAAATTGGGTGTCTTAAAGAATATTATAAGAGTTATAAATATGGAAATATAGCTTGTCCAGGTGCTTATGACAGTTGCACTTTGATCTAAGTAAAGCCAATAGGTCTTTCCATGTTTTGAAAAATAACTCCTACTTGCACTACTGCATTTTATCAGGCAGAATATTCTAAAATTGATGGGCCAGAAGCACATTCAGGCAGTGCATGTGAACATCCTGATCATTATGGTAATCATATTGCAGAGAAAGTAAAACTGAGGAGGCAGAAGGCCCGTGGACATGCTGAACCATAGTCACTGTGTTTGTGAAAAGCACTGTTAGAATAAACAGTGTTAAACTGTTTGTGAAGTGAAAACTAACCTTTATTTCTTATCTAAACCAACTCTTTGAGACCTGAATAAATTCTAGGAAGTGCTATTTCCAAGTCTTGTTGCTCAGTGTAGTCATAGCATAATAAAAGTAAACAAGTTTTTGGT